TCAAATTTTGAATACAAAAAAAGGAAGCCCAGTTGTATAATCAATTAATAACAATACTATTATTATTATTATCAATATCATTATTAATTTTAGTACAGTTGTGATTAACGTATTAAAATTAAAAATTCATAGTTAGAAATTTTGCGTACGCAGAAATTATAATATGTATCCCTCAGTTGTATTCAAGCAATCTTGAAATTTTTATTTCTTTTCACATTATATAAATTTAAACCGTATATTTTAATTTGCGTGGATTCAAAACTTTTGCATATCTTGAAAATCATTAGCAAATAAAAGGATCTACGTAATTACACATGGTGGCATGAGCAAACACGATTGATCGAAAGAGATGATATGGGCCGCGCGTGTTGGAGCTGCAGCTGGTAAGTATAGCTAGATTGAAACTGACAGCTTTTCGGTCGTCTATAGATATACAGGTATGAGTTCTAACGCGCCATGGAAATCCGATAAAATCAAGAATATTTTCGCAAAGTCCGTCGGGTCTGCCACACGTAACTTTAGTGGAGGCGTTAAGTATTAAAACTCTCCGATGATAATAGATTTCTTTATTCAACAAGTTGTTTTCAACTCTATATATTCTTTTAAAAACTATTTTTCAGTGGCATTTCTAAATCTCAAGGAATTTTTTACTTTTTTATTGTTATTATTTTTTTTTTACATTTCATCGAATTAATTATTTCAATTTCATTTAATATTTCATATAACTTTATTTACTTTTGGGTTGATATGTCATCATCATCTTGTATGATACATTATCACACTTTTGGTTTGCGCTTATAAAATATCAGTTTTTCCACAAATCATACAAAAATTTGCTCATTTGTCCTCATCATCCAGTAAAAGGTTGGAACTTTTAACTCATAATACTTTTGCTCGTACAGTCTCAAACACAAGTTCATTCGTTTAAAGTCCTGCGAAATAATTCGAGATTTAGACGATTCGTCATTATAGATAAAAAAATAAATATATATGTACATATAAAAATTTTTACCTTCATGAAAACATTCCAAATTGTGGAATCCAAAATTCTACGTGAAGCATTTTTGAGTCCAAATGGAAGCAAATACGTTAAATCATCTGAAAGCTCTCCACCTACCAGGTTGTACATACATATAGGTACGTGTGAGCGAAGTTTTTCTCAATCAATCAATCGAGGAAACGGTAATGAGAACCCAATCCACGCTTCGACGGCGAACGACCTACTTTACCCTCCTCCTCCTCGTCAAAGAGCACCACTTCGCCCTCTTTGTAAAAAAAAAACGTCACCCAGCAGCAGCCCCATTACACGAACAAACGAGCAGTGGTGCTTCATTTCTACGTAACATGTTAAAGTTGTTGTATATATTCCAAAGTTCTCGTCTAGAGTGATGTTTGCAAAAAAAAAAAAGGGCAGCACAGTAGAACCAGACTCTCAACCTACATACATCACATGCACGAATGAAAACGCACTTTTCAATGGACGCCTTTAGCGAGTGGAAAAACCCCTCGGCAAACTCGGTCGCTCGAGAGTTCTCCCTTTTTCTCCGTGGATGCGAAATGTAAAGAGCCCTAAAAAAGACCTCGGGTGTGTCCCCCGCAACGAGAGTACCTATGTGCACCTAGAAAAGAAGGTTGGTGTGCCCCTTTTGGTTTATTCACGAATTTAAGAGACTTCAAACGCGAGAGAGAGGATGAGGGAGTACTTAGTTTTCAGAAAATAATTTTCCACCGTTACCTCTTCATCGAAATGCAGTTTCACCCAAGCGTCTCACTTGCCTTCGAGTTGGCCCAGAAATTTTTTTGTACAATCCCATGGGACTCTCCCCCCCCTCCCGAACAATGAGTCCCTTGAAAGAAGATAAGTAGGAATCGATACATCGAAACGGGCAGCAGCTTGATTCGATAAAATCGGTCAAGTGCTCCCATCATACCCGTACAAGAGTACAACGAACTGGCAGGAAAGAGATTTTCCAGAAATGTGTAATAGACGTTGTCTGTAACTGTGATAAGTGTCCGGGGCAGGGAGGGGTGTAAATCCCGAAGGTAACTGCTGCAACGGTAGTAAAGTTTTTCTCTTCCTCTCGGCCGAGTGAAAAAAATAAAAAAAATTGTGTATATATATCGAAAAGCGTGTACTGTTATGGCTCGCTCGAGCGATCTTTCTTTGCTCCTTTCTCTTGTGCTTTGCGAGGATGAATGGCCTTGTTTCTCTCCTTCTTTGTTTCCCGTATTTCCCCAAACTTGGATGTTGAGCGATAAAAATAATGCAATATTAAATTGCATGTCCAAGCGTGAAAACGCTGCTTAAAACACTTGAATTGAATAATATCGCGGTAGGATTTTGACTTATTTAACGATATTTGTTACCACGCTGATATGATCCATTATTACTGATGTTTGCGTCATTGTTTTGACGTGTAGGGAACGAGCTGTATTTGAAATACATATTGTTTCCTTTTGGCACGCACATGTGTGGTGGGATAATCCTTTACTTTGCATTCATTGTATTGGGTTGTTTGGAAAAATTCAGTTTAGAAAAAGACGTCATCTTTCAAAAAAAAAAAAAAAAAAAAGCTTATTGCAAGTTTTTTAGGATAAAAACTTTGAAAGTTTCCTTGACATTAACGTAAAAGTATAAGTATATCTTAATGATTATTTAATTATTTTCCTGGTACATTTATGTAGAGCGTGTTATCTATAACTATTCATAGCGATAAATTCATCCTCTACCACATTTTTCAAAGTAACAAGTCAATGAACCGGTTTTGACCCTGAATACATTTATGTTTGGTTTCTTCCTTGTTTTTGGTTGATTATTTTTTTTTTTTTTTTTTTTTATCTGATGTCTATTAAGCTAGCAGAGTCTCATCATTGCCTCGGCATTGCTTTAATAGTAATAACAGTAATAGTAAACATGGTAGCTGTTTCTTAATGTATACAGTATTAATTTGATTTACTATAAACGATAAACGAGACTATAAGCGATAACAATTATCTATGTTAAAGCTAAATAATCATTTCTAATCAAATAGAGTATTAATATACGTATCGATAAATAATCGTTAAATAATTGGTTGTTTTTTCATAACAAACCCTCCATTTTATGTTGATAAGCATAAACTAATGAGTTTGTATTAATATCGAAAGATGTTTATTTATATATGTGTCTGATAAAACTAATCTAATCGTTAGTTTCATTACGTTAATAAATAATGAATTAACTAAGCATTTTTAAAAGAAACGATTAGTGCTGTTACCAAAATACACTCAGTTAAATATTTACTTTAATTGTAGTTTTTATTTACTTCTATTTTTACTGATATTATTAAAACAACACTTTATAATCGTTTAAAATGAACCAAAATAATCTATTTTCTTTAATTGAGCATGAGTGAATGGGTATACCTAGAAACTTCATGTTAATGGATTTTTAAAGATAACCGTTCAAGCCAAACAGTCATTATTATGAGCTATCGTAAATTCTAACGTAACACAATTAAATTATAATAATAATAATAATAATAATAATAATAATAATAAGAAACGATTGTTGAATGAAGTTTCATCTGTCGATAAAATAATTGTACTGTCTGGACACATTACATTAGCTTTATGCGTGTTTTTTTCAAGAAAACAAAAGTTAAAAAAAAAACGCACATATTCTCCTTGCATCGAGTATGAAATAAATGCTTACTCGAATATAAATTTTTTTACGAAACGCTACATATGTATGTACAATTGTCCCACGCAGAGAGTTGGACCGAGTGCCAACTTGTATGGGATATAATAAGGAAAATTTACGAGTTTTGCACATTTATATCGTGTAGGATGCATCCGACGATTTATACGTGCTCGCATGTGCAAGGCGATAAGAAAAAACAAGGGCTAATCGCAACAACCCTTAGATACTTGTACGTGTATAGCAATGCAAACGGTTAACACACAAGGAGAGAAAGCAAGCAGGCGAAAGATGTCTTGCAATATGAATATGGTCGCGCTAAGGGATAAGGGTGAGCATATAGGGGTGAGAGGCTGCCGGGCCGCGTACCTATACATAGCCGTACACAAGGTGCGAGAGAGGACGCTATAATATAGTGTACCCATATTGGCGCCGAGCCAGATACCCGCACACACACACGTAGTTAAATATTCGGGTCGAAGCAACCCCTTCGGATGCTGATGGCGTCGTGTCATGCTGTAACTATACGGGTGTGCCTATATTTTTGCACGTAGTAGACGAAAGTACGTGTATTATGTTGTGTGTATACACAGCAAAAGCGCGGCCGTTCAATAACAATTTGCAGACGCTGCTCTCCCTCTCAGCTCTGTATTCGAGATTTTCCTTCTTCCCTTCTCTGGAACCAAGTGGCTGTCTCCTCTTTCTTTTCCCCGGGGCCCGTTTGCTAAGCGAAACTGTACGAGGAGCACGTCTTTTTTTTTTTTTTTTTTTTTTTTTTTTTTTTTTTCTTCGGTCCTAGTGAAGAAATAATGCACGTTGTTGGTAGTGTGGGGAAAGGAAACAAAGTACTTTACGAGCACATATCATCACACGTGATTCGCTCTCGGGTTTGGCACCGGAGCGGAACTGACTTTTTCGATGTAAAAATAGTGTCCATTGGAGCGATGCCGCAGCGTTGGCGCTTTAATTAATTAATGTAGACACTTTTTTTGTGAATGATTTAAGAAAATTATGGACCGTAAAATTTTTGCAGACTTGGTTGCTTGAAAAAGCAATGCTATCTTTTTACTAAAAATTCGATATTGCCACGAGATACGCAAAATATAAAATTAGTGTTTTTTCGTACAAGCGATTGCAGTATGTCGTAGTCACGCGGTATCAAATTATACTGTACCGATTAACAATGGAAAAGAAAAAAATGTGTTTTCGCATGTAAAAAATGTAGAAAAAAAAAAATAATAATAATAATAAAAAAATACTTTGCCAAACGAATCCGTCAACCTTGTTTTATTAATCACGCATTATTCTCTATTTTGAACAGGTGACTCGCTGCAGTGCACCCCACTCGACCGCGCCTACAAGAGCAAAGTCCTCGGCCACTACCCGGAGTCCGTGCCATGGAATCCCTTCGACGAGCACGCGGTCTGTATGGTGGGTAACCCCTGTGTTTGCTATTATTTTTGCTACGCGTGTATATTACATTATACCTATATACGTGTGTGTAAACTTTCGTTTGTGTATTATACATATACGTGTATATATAGTATCGATCAGCTGTTGTGTCGGCTCGCCCCCTATACACCCCCCCTGAGGCTCTCCTCGTACACACACACACACCCCCTCATCCGCTTCCTCCCTTTTCCTTTCTTTACATTTTATGTATACACAGTCTAGCCACCCTTCCGTAAGCAATGATGACTCATGGGCACGTGTATATATATACGTACCTGCTATGTAGTGCCACGAATCGGCTTCCCTTTTCTTTAAACCTTTTTTTTTTTTTTTTTTTTTTTTTTTTTTTTTTTTCTTTACGAGCAGCGCAACCGTTGTGTGCGTGCGTGTACTTATTTACGCGCTGGGAGAAAATGATATGGGGGTGGTAGAAGTTTGCCTGTTGGAATAATCGATTTTAGGGGCAAGGGCGGTGACAAACGAGTCTGATATACGTTTATCGGTTTGGTTTGAAATCGATGCGATGCGAGCCAGGATATTGGGCATATACTTTTATATTCATTGGACGCCGGATTGATTTCTAGGTGTGTATAGGTGGGGTGATTTGTGTAGTATCAACATTAGTGTGCGTACGTTAAATTGTTTTATTACTAAATGTTTTTTGTTCTCAATATTACGATGTAAAAATTTTGGTATAGTTTTATAGTTTTTGTCCCAAGTGCAACCCAGAGTGCAACTTTTGTGACCCAAAAGTCTTGATGGTCCCAGTATCAAAATGACGAAAACTATCATTTCAAGGCACATTTCTTCATACAATCTTAAACTAGTTCCTATTAGATATAAAGAAAAGCTGGTAAAAAAATGTGGTTTATCTTAAAAACCTTAAAAATTTTTTTGGTGTTGATGCCAATTTCAGAAAAAAAAGAACACTGTAATTTTTAGATGATGTATAAATATTTTACCGTTTCAAACAAATATTGTCAAGAGCTACTCAAAACAAAAGCCTTGAAAATTGTTCCAAAAAACAATAAGTCTTCCAAATTTTTCCGTACGTCACATCGGAGACATGTAAAAGATGTAAAAAAAAAAAAAAAAAAAAAAAAAATGGCACTCGACCCCCTGGAACCTGCAATTAGCAAGATCAATAATGTTTTTGCCCCACACGCACCTCGGACAGCTATGCCTCCCGAGCGGCCTACGCTTTCGCACCCAGAAGCACTCCGTCGAGCCGAGCTTCCACTCCTTTGTCCTCACAAAGGAGGACGGCCACCGAACGTACGGCTTCAGTCTGCTCTTCTACGAGGAGTGCCGCAACCGCAAGATCTGCGCCGCCATGCAGACCCTCCAGGCCATGTTCATAACCGAGCTAAGCAGCGGCCAAAACGGCACACCTCCGCAGTAAGTGCTTTTACACTTGTTTTTTTTTTTTTTTTTTTTCCCCTTCCCTCCTCCATCTGCAATACAGTCTTGGCTGTGTTTACCACTCCAGATGGTAGGTATACATACTTTTGCTCGAAAATTTTTTCTTTTCCCCCACGATTTCGCGAGCTATATACACAAGTGCTCGTTCTCGCGGTTTATTTCGGGAGAGCCACTTTTTATAGGCACCGACTTGGGCGAAGGACGCCGGTTGGTTTCGCTCTGCCGTGCCAAGGATTTTCATTAGCTACGAATATACTAACGTGGATTTTTTCTGAAAAAAAAAAAAAAACTTTTGCTTTCGTTACACGCTCGCTCGAATCGACTTATGGCGCACAATGAAAGTTTTGGTCAATTGAGAAACTGTATGGTAAGCGCGAATAGTCGATTAAAAATCATTTAGGTAGATGACTTTGAAAAAAAAAAAAAATAAAATAAAAGAAGTTCACATACTTTGCTAATCTGATCTCACGGCCGAACGCGATTACTAACAGGGCTCGAACGGGCATGTTTGTTATAAACAACAGCAGCAGAAAAAAAAACTTTGGTTGTACGTGAATCGGTGTAATTGATTATATATACTGGAAAGTAATCCTACCGGAATTACCAATAGTATAAGTATACAACAACAAAAAAACACATTATTTTTTTCTCTATATTCAGCTATAAATCTGCCACGGGAGCAATATTATTTGGAACCCATCGGTATCCAAAATATGCGAGCAGATTTGAATGAAAAAACCTTAAATCATGTATCTCTTTCTACCTCGCTGTGTGTGCGCTCTCGTGTACCTTTATTTTCTTTTGCCATGTTATTATTACTGATATTATTTATCTTAAACCGATACACTCTAATGCAATCGTTTTATTTTTTTCCGTAACTTTATTTACTTTACTGTTTATTTTTAGTGTTGTAGTTGTTACATATATTGTTACATTGTAATTAATCAATATCGTTAAATTATGCTTGTGTTTCACTACGTATATGTATATAATTATTATATTATTAAAACACATTGTTATTACAATTATTACATTTTTTGTATACTTCACCGTCCAGTGTAACTGGGCGTAATTGACTTTTCCCCTTCAATACACACTTCATAAATCGGTTAAATCTTTCTTTCGTGTGGAAACAGACCACGGAGAGGAGGCAGCGGAGCCGACCGGCACGATATGCACAACACGAGATCCCTGCCCAGGCACTTCAAGCTCGCGGCAAACTCGGCAGCCGCGGCTCTGGCCTACTACGACTCGACCAAAGACAAGCTCCTAGTCACTAAATCGGTATCCCTGATCTGCCAGCAGGCCTACCTCCACGCCGCCAAAACCTTCCTCACGAACCTTTACAAGTGAGGAAATTTTTTAATTCAAATTCACTTGATTACCACGCGCTACAGCTTGTAGAACAAAATTAACAGCAACAACGCTCGTCCCCGACAGATGCGTCCCCCGTCACCCGGGCCCGGGTCTGAGCCTCGAGTCGTACGTCTACAACCTCCTGTACAGCGTCCCGACACCCCTGCCCGGCAAATCCCTCAAGTTCCACGTGCCGAACGATGAACCGGCCAAGTCGCCCCTCGAGCTCGTCGTCCACCAGCCCCAGCCCGGCCTGGAGCTTCCTCTGCTCGACTACTCGCTCAAGAACCTGTTCGGCTGGCTGGGCATCGACTGCGTCATCCAGCTCTTCACGTGCGTCCTCCTCGAGAACCAGGTCCTCATACGCAGTACCGATTTTCACAAGCTCATGGTCGTCGCCGAGTGCGTCACGGCCCTCCTGTTCCCCTACTCGTGGCAGCACGTCTACGTGCCCATACTGCCCGCGAGCTTGTATCACTTTCTCGACGCCCCAGTGCCGTTCATCATGGGCCTGCACGCCCAGAGCGACGCCTCGAGTCTCAAGATCGCTGGAGAGGTGAGTGTCTGTGGGATCATCCGCAGTGGGTGATTGAAGGGTCATTGGACCTAATCGGTTGGCTCGGATACTTTTAAATCTTGCACCAATCTGTGGATATTTTTGTTGTTCCGTAACTGTACGATCTACAAATGTGTTTCGTGTATTTTTTGTTAGTACGTGGAACATGATTTTTCCCAATGGTACGTCTCGGGAAAAGTTTTTTTTTTTTCCATTGCGTTGACAGCCGAACGATCTATAACGTGGAAATTCCAGGGCAACCTCTGTTACGTGGACATCGACAAGCAAACCAGCCAATTTCCCGAAGAGCTGCCTGTGTTCCCGCACAAAGTGCAATTCGTCGAGGAGATCCGGGCGTACTTGAACAAGCACAAAGTTCCGTACCTAGAAAAGTAAGCTATATACCCCTCGCACGCGTTTCATTATTCATTGTATGGACATATCGTTCATCGCCAAATCGGCCAATACAACATGACGAATGTGTCGCAGGACTGACAACATGTTTGGGAATTACCTGAACGGTGATATAATGACGAGCAGCTTGACTCTTCCCGGCTCGGGGTTTCACTACCCCAAGAGGAAGCACTCGCTGCACGACGTCTTGGATTGGGACAGGCCGGACTCGGGTCCACAGTGCGATGCCATACAACGGATACTCGACGTTGTCAAGAGAACGGGTCAGAAAATAAATAAATAAATAAATAAAAAAAACCATTAGGATAAACGTATGTGTATTTCCTTGGCGTTACGATTTTATCATCCAATCGTAAATTACAGAGGTGGACATGGACGATATAGACTCCATCGACAATCCCCCGAAGAGCAAGGCGTTCAACAATCCCCAGGAAGAGTACCAGGAGACGCTGGTCTTTAACAACGCCATTCGTGAGATTTTCATGAACCGGTTCGTCCAGCTGTTCTCCAGTTACGAGCACTTCCTCATAATACCCAGCCAGGTGAGTGCGTTTGAAAATCCACGAGAGCCCCCTCTCCCGAGTATCGAGCGCGCAAAGTGAGGGAGGACAATTATTTGCTTCAGGACAAGGAAGAGTGGATAAACAACCGGGACAACATGCACCTCTTCGACAAGGCCACCTTTTTGTCGGAGCAGCCGGCCCACCACCTGCCCTTCCTGTCGAGGTTCATCGAGACGCAGATGTTCGCGTCCTTTGTCGACACGAAAGTCATGTCCCTGTGGAACGAGCTGGACTCGAACATCAAACTCTTCGACAAACGGATCGCGCAGCTAAAGTCCGTTGCTTTATTCTCCCTTCGCTCACCTACTGCAAACTCGAGGAAAACCCTCCCGGCTTAATGGCACTTTTCTTTTTTTTCTACCAATGTATAGAAAACGAGTGGGCGAAGGGATCGTGCGGTCGACGCGTTACGAGCTCTGCACTACCGTACCCGAAACCCAGACCGTGATCGAGCAGAGGCTCAACAACGTCGACTTCGAGGTCAGTCCACCGACGGAAGTCATACCTCACAGGGCCGCTTACTTTCGGAGTTTTCCGCTCCTCGACGCCGTCGCTCTCAACAAACAGCCGACCCAGAGGTAAATGGCCCCTAGCTTGTACGATCTCAACAGCTGCATTTTTTTTTTTTTTTTTTTTTTCCATCACTTTTTACGCTAACAATCGATCTCTCAACTAACTGAGCCAATCATTCATTGTTTTTGCTGCTGCGCTTTTCACAGTATGCTCCGGTAAGGGTTTTTTTCCTGACTTAACTATTGTTGTCGTTGTTGTTCGTGTTATTGTGATTGTTGTGTCGCGGTAGTTTCGTCTACGCTTGGTATTGACGCGTTTTGTTTGCTATGTGCAGCAGTAGAAGGGGACAGACGCAGTGGAAGTACAAGATGAAGGCGCTCGAGTCTGTAAACGGGAAGCCACCCATGGCTCATCACCAGGAGACGCAGTCGCCTCGGCCGCAGGCGAAACTCTCGGCCGACATGAGCCCGGCTCTCATAGCACAAGCCAATTGGACATTTGTCGAAACGTTGCTCAAAGTAAGTTGAACCGGGGCGAGTTGGGCATGCATACTTGAAAACTTTTTCGCTGCAACGGTCGTTTGTTTTTCAAGGACTGCAAGGCCAAAACGAAGCGCATGCTGGTCGAGAAAATGGGCTCGGAAGCGGTGGCCTTGGGTCACGGTGGGGAAGTGTTGTCGGACGTCGAGGAGAACACTTTGGTGGCCAGTTTGTGCGACCTCATCGAGAGGGTCTGGAGCCACGGTTTGCAAAACAAACAGGGCAAGAGCGGGCTCTGGTCTCACCTGGTAATGTACCAGCAGCTCGAGGACAACAATGACAGTGCCAAAACGATAGATGCCAATTTTTTGTCCCCAGGTACGTGAGTTATCAACCATTTCACGTTCATCGATCTCATATTTACAACTCGTGTATATGTATATACTTACTTATGCAATCATCTCTCACTTCGTCAATGTTGATAATACATTGCTAATGCGTGTAACGTTAAATGTATAGTTTTAAATGTTGAACTACAACGATGTAAAAAATTAAAATTACTTACGAACTATTCGACTAACATATAATTGCTATAACCGTTTGGATCGCAGCGCTAGCTTGGTGCGTGCTTCGGAAGCGGCTTGACTGTACGTTGCTTCTATTATACCAACCATTTTTTAATAAGTTGTTGAGATTACGTGTTTTTTCACTGTGTAGACGTACTTTTTTATGTGTATAGATGTTGATTTTTCTTTATTTTTTTTTCAAAGCCTGAAACACTCGATTTGATTGAGAATTTTTTTATTCGTCTTTTATTTATTGTTTATAGAGCAAAAAAAAAAAAAAAAAAAGAGCGATTTGTGAAATTGTACAAAGTTTAGCATGACTTCAATGTGTCAATGTATGAATACATATTGCTATTGCATTATCACGTGTACACATAGCGTTATAGAGCTTTAAAACTGTTTTTTTTTTTTTTTTTTTTCTTTTCACGCACGATCATCTATTATATTTTAAGTTTTTGTACATAATTTAACAGTTTTATGTTGTTTCTTTGTTACTTCTGTACATGTGATTAGCTAATAATAAGAAACCACCCACTAAGCTTTCTCGGTTGTCGGACCGTTTGGTTTCTTCATTAAAAGGCAAACACATATATGAAATAGCTTCTTATTTCAAGGAAAATATCAGCGGTAAGGCTCAGTCCTGTCTCGAACAGAACAAACTGCTTGCGAGTTTGAAATTAGTGAAAAATCGGAATGATCTTGAACAATGAAACGAGCTAAAAGAGAATGATTTTTTAACTAACATATTTATAATTTTTTTGTGGAATGTACTGTGGGTGATACTCATTAAATTCACCTTGGTAAATAACAATAAAAAAAAAAAAACCTTTGAAACGACCAATTTACTCATTTAGACGTATTTTATTCAAAATGTTATTACTTCCTTAAGGAACCACTCATTATTTAAATTTATCTAAATACAAAAAAAAAAATTTTCTTCTGAGATATCTTTTACCTTGACAATGTTTACTGAAAACCATGCAATAATCCATAATCTTATTATTGCTTGCAAGACGATCTAGAAACAGATTTGATTTTTATCCTTTTTTTTTTTCTTTTAACGATTCAGTGCATGGAGTTACACACGCATGATAATCAGAATGGTGTACATACGTTTTTCTGCACGCAAAATTGTCATGCAGTGTTTGTTTGATATGGTGTGAAAAAAAAAAAAAAAAAAAAAAAAATGTTAACACCCTGCTTGTCTCACCCAATCGGCACAGACCTGTCGAACCTCGCGCTGGAGACTGATTCATCGCCCACTCGGGGCAACATGAACGATCAGCATCAGCGACAGCTGCACAAATCACCGGCGAGCGCACCCGGAAATTACACCGGGGAAAAACGGTCGATGGGGCCGGAACAGCTGAGGCCACTGCCCGAGTCGCTGCTCTTCGACGTGCGCAACGTCCAGGCGATGACGGACATCAAAACGCACATCGGCTACGCCAGGGCTTGGGTTAGACTGGCTCTCGAGAAGAAACTCCTGTCCAGGCATCTCAAGACTCTCCTCTCCAACCAAAATTTGCTAAAGTAACGTTATTCCAGCCTTTTTTTTTTCAACTTTTGGAGTGAATATATAATAATAGAATTTCGCTCAGATGCACGTGCATACATGTAAATGTTAAATCGAAACGTGTAAAACAAATAGATAAACGCACACTTTCAGGAGCCAGTACAAGAGATCGGCGTTCCTGAGATGCGAGGAGGAAAAGGAGCAGTTCCTGTACCATCTCCTAACGCTCAACGCCGTGGATTACTTTTGTTTCACCAACAACTATCCGATGACCAAATTGCCGTACCGCGTGATCATATTTCCCAGCCGAAAGGCAAGCGCAGCTACAACCTCAGCCAACAGCTGGATAGCCATTTCTGGCACCCTTGGAGAGACTAATCCCGTGACGATACCCAAGGGCGCCCTCGAATTCGTCTTTCACGTAATTTCTTATGTTCCACTCCAAAGTCACAATTCTTCAAACTTTCGAGATACTCAAATGGTCCGTTTGTTGCCGTACAGCACAAAAACCTGGGCGTATTGTCGACGTTGCGCATCGGCCACGACAACACCGGGCCGTCGCCCAAATGGATGGTCGAGCACGTGGTGGTGCGCAACGAGGTGACGGCCCACACGTTCAAATTCCCGTGCGGCAGGTGGCTCGGGCGCGGGATCGACGACGGCTCGACCGAGCGTTTGCTCGTGGGCGCCCTGGTGCCCAAGAGCATCGACAATGACGAGCTCGTGGAGACGTGCTCGACGCCGCCGAGGTGCAGGTACGAATGGCGCCACAAAGAGTGTTTATGTACCAAGCCGGGGGTACACAAAGAGCTTACACGTTCAACGAGCGATGAGCATCTTTTTATATCCTCCCGACTAACATAATACATCTGTATGTCTCTTGCCCGTGCAGGTCACCCAGCATACCGCGCAGTAGGCCCAGCCTCTCGACCAACGAGCTCCAGCAGATGCTCGGCGAGGCGGTCAATGCGGTGGTTAAGTATCATTACAGGAAAGAGGGGACGCAGGACGGCTCGCTCACCGCGCTGTTGTGCGGGGAAGGCGGTCTGGTACCGTCTTTGGAGCAGATTTTTTTGTACGGCTTTAAAAACCAGAGGATATTCGGCAGGAACTTTTACGTTTGGGATTATCTGGGTAAGACCCGGAGAGTTGTTATTTTTCTGTTATTATTGTTTACCCCGATACTTTTGGAATTGAGGCTTTTTTTCTTTTCAGTACGAGTCAAAGAGAACTTTGAAATGATGTTGTTGGAGCAGATGGACGAATACTCGCAGCGTTTGAATCGTGATAAGAGATCGCAAGAGAGACATCAGAAGTTCGCCTTTCTCAGGTGTTACTGTCACCTGCTCGACCAAATCAACACTTCGAGCCAAACTCTCGGCAAAGATGGCAAATTTCAACTTTTCACATGCTTGGCTGTGAGGTGAGGATTAACAATGTCACACAAAATTAATAAACTACCGAAAAAACCAGATTATCAAAAATTCTCTTACAATTTTCAGGGAACAGCTGCTGCATCTAATGTTACGTCCAATGAGCGAAGCACGCTCAACCATAGAAATGTACGAAGAAACTTCCTTTCTGCGTAGTCCAGCGTTACTCACCTTCCTTGTTCAGATTCTTCAGCCACTCAGTGGCTTTCATATTGTACTTGAAAAGAGCTTAACACATGGAATCTCAAGTTTAAGCTAATACGCGTAATTACAATGACCAAAGTTTATTGGGTTCTAAATGTTTAAGCAATAGTCTACGGCCCAATAGTAGAAACGTACAAAAAAAATTCTAACGACAAATTACGTGGTTATGTACTCTAAAATCATTGAAAAGCTCTACAAAAGCGTTTAAGTAAATATCGCGTCAGGTATCTCTAAAATAAGTAATCGAACATAAATTCTTGCCAACAAAGATAATAAAAATAAAAATAATAATAATACGGTTAGAATAACATTTTATTTAGAAGTTTATTACACGTGACTGTCTACCAAATATGAGGTTTTATTAACAGCATTTAAGCATAGCTGTACGCTTTTATCATAACTAATGTTAGTACTCCCGTAAGCCTAATTAACTATTGTTGTTAGGAAGAGTGAAACATGACATAAGCCACTGTGCCAGAAAATTATATTATTAAATATATATTTAACATGTACATAGTAGGTAGAAAAATTACTTTGATTCTAATACCGTCGCATGTTATTCCTGCATCTTGTTTGACTGTTTATTCGAAAAGTTATCAGTTTTAACATCTTGGGAAGTTTGTGCTTGTTATAAAAACTGAAATTAACGTAAATCAAGCATCATATTTAATTCTTAAACTTACTGTGAAACTCCTAAATTTTTTGGTATTTTTATTCAACAAAACATGGATTGGTTTTTGTAGAAAAAAAAAGTTTTTTTTTTTTTAAACAAAAAACGATGTGTTGGAATAGTGTAAATGGTAATTTCAACAAAAGGTGCGTTACAAAATTGTGTATCTATTTGTAAATAATACATCTGTCCAAGTGTAAAATTTATTACATATGTAGAATATTGTTCTAATTTTATGAACCCAAGAAAATCCGATAGCGTGAGGATGTGTTTTTAATAATAATGTTTCATACGGAATACTTGGTCCAAAAGTCGCATGATTCCACTCAAAACTCTTTGCATGCAATGATGTGAAACGGTGTGAAGTATTTTTAATTCCCCTTCGTACTTTTATAAATAAATTATAAAGTTAGGAGTTTTTTTCACACAATTAAATTTGTAAGTATAGTCCCTAGAATTTTGATGACCTTTGATTACTTTAGTCATTTTTTACAAAGTCAAGTCCTTAGATTCGTGCCAAAAAACTTTTCAAAGTTTGGTATCTCAATTTTACATTTATACTCTGTAAGACATACCTTACACATGTGATAAATTTTATCTACTCTTAACTATCAAAGTAAAAAATGAGATTACTAATAATTATGGAAGAACAATTAAAAATAAACACGTTAATGTATGAAAAGGTATTAGTACCAGAAGTGTATATTCTTCATCTCATAAATTTTTTTTAGTAAAATATGTAACAATTATTTTTGATTACACTTATCTCTCGTACACTACTTCATTACCTAGTAAGGGGTTAAAATATGTTTAAGATTGTATTATTTTTTAATATGATATTATTTAGATTAAGTTTTATGATACATAAACCGCTATTCGTTAATTTCCTATTATCTATAAAATGAGATGTGATTGTATAACATTATGTTTGTAGTGATTTTGTTCATCTTCTGTGATGTATAAAATATTCTCTTAAAACGTAATAATACTATATGTACCTATAACCAAAGTAAATTGACAAAGTCGTTTTTGTATTTTATAAAAGCAAGTAATACTGTACATACTAAAACTAAGCATTTCAATTTAAAGATTCTCAGCTGGTGATGATGTTAAACAAGTGTCATATTAAAATTTAAGCGTGTGCTAGTGTATAAACAATTTAAAAAGTGAGAGCTAGTTGTACAGTAGCAAGTATGCAGATTACAATATGTACTAAAAATAAAATATTAAGCAAATTTTTTGTATTCCATTCAATGAAGTCAACATAATTATTCACTTACTTTTCATATCATTGTAAAATATTACTTTTAGTAAAAAGACTTTAATAATTTTACTATTATTAAAACAGAAAATCACTAAAATATTCTTAGTTTTCCCTTATCACATATACATGAAAAGGTATCTGTTTATAAAATACACAATACACGTTCCTTTTCCTCTTAGTCTCTTAAATTGATTAAACAAAAGACCACTTGTAGCCCCCATTGAACTTAAAAATGATCAAAGTAACACTTTATTGATCTGTCTGTAGGCACTAAAGATGGCCTTTGATCGGTGTGCCATTATCTTGATTCTCTGGTACTGTAAGTAACCATTGTTCTTTTGACTCAGAAGGCCGATGTGTCATTTTCTAAACTGTCTGTAACTGTACAAGTAGTTAGCCTTTCGTCTATACAAGTTGCAGTCTTTGGTGTACCATTATCTTGGCTGTCTTTGGACTTGGGGCAGCCTTTCAGGCTCATCTGGTGCTTCCACTTTCCTTGCTTATTGCGTTTGAACCCTAAGGTACAGGCTCGTTTTTTCACCGTTTTTTCTTCAACATGTAACAACTCTGACAACGCTTTGGGCGTTAATGATGGATCCTGTTCGAGCAAGGCTATGAAGTCTTCGTCTCTGAATTTTTTCGGCTGACCCGAGCGTTCCTTGTCTTTGACAGAAAAATCACCGCTTCTGAATCGCGCGTACCATTTTTTGCACATGGTCACAGACACGACGCCTTCACCGTAAGCTTCGACCATCATACCATGACTTTCGTAGGAAGATTTTTTCAAATGAAAGCAAAAAAGCAGCGCTTCCCGCAAGTGTTGCTTACTGGGCTTGAAATTCGATGACATTTTTGATAGATAGGTAAGACTTTTACTTGTACTACATAAGTTACAGGTGAGGTGTATAAACGCTACTGCTATTTCGGAGTTGTTTCGTTGTTTGTTTACAGATTTTACATTTGGTTATTTAGTCCCTTTTCCCTTACACCCCGCGCTCTAGTCTAGATCTAGAGCGACATTCTGTTAAGGGTAAAGCTGAGTACGTTTAGTTCGGAATCAACATCACTAGATGGCGCTGATCGTTTTAAAAATTATCTCCGAGAGAGGAGTATTCGAATGCAAGAAGTATAATAAACTCTAATTCCATTTAATCAAATGAAAAACAGACAATTAGAAAAGATACGTGTCCTCTAAACCTTGACTAAAAATTAACAAATTAGACTACCTAATCTGTAGTGGGGAGAAACAAAAATTTATTCGACAACAGTTCTCTGAATAAGTGAATTTTATTTAAACTTTACTTTTTAAGATCTTGAATATTTTTTTGTCAACAAGTGCGCTTTTTCCTCATGATGCAAATTTGCACATATTAAAATATGTCCTTTGTCTTGAAAAATGATCACTATGACTTTGGCTTTGTTTTAAAAAAACTTTATTTGTTTTTATTGGTCATATTGATAGAGTTACAGTTAAGCTCGGATTGGAGAGGTTGTTTCGTCAAGCTCTGAATAAAATCTAAGGTGACATGACTTATTAAAAAAAAAAAAAAAAATAAAAATAATAAAAAAATAATGTTGATCACTCGATAAATTGAAAAAAGTAAAAAACGATTTTTCCATCGTAAACGATTTCCCAAACAGACAATTTCGTTCAAAGTATTTATTTTTTTAGACCCCACCAGGCTTGCTAACTTTTTTTTTTTCCATTTATTCACTTGAAATAATATGTGCCTAGGTACATGCATTTACCGAAAGACAAACAGAATCAAAGTAAACTGGAATCCGCTGGATTTCAAGTTAGCGACTAAACCTTACGTCCTTGATATACAATCGAATGAAACATTTCGCCACGACGATGCAACAATTTTCCTATTTCACTGTAATGAATGGGCACAGCGTCTATAAACGCGCGTAACGACTGTAATAAGTATTGATTTCTTTCTCCACATAGAAAAAAAAGAAAAAATGAAAAGATCGGTAAGTACACCTATACAGGAATAAACTGAAAAAAGGGCGATCGGTACTTAAGTACCCCGCAAAATGTATAACAGTCATACGAGGCCGAGAGCGAGTAATTTAATGCCACACGCTCCTCTCTCTTCGTTTCTCATTACAATACAGGAGGGCATCGTGCACGTAGAGATCGGATGAAAAAAAAAAAAAAATTAATAACGAGGCCAAACGTGCGTTGCGCTAACGGTAATACGAAGCCGCGGTCAGAGGTACAACAACACCCAATGCCGAAGATGATGATGATGATAGTAACAAGCTCTTGCATCTCATTTATTGAGCCCCTCCTCCTCCCATATTTGCAATTCATTCTTTATGTACCTACTGTAGATGCGGGTCCGTTAGTCGCCCGGCACTAGTTATACAGTGAGCTTTTACGTGTACAAGGTGGTGATAACCGATATCAATTCAACGAATCCGTATATACAATACACACTTTTTTTCATCTTACCATAGATTGTATACTTTTCCTTGGATTTTTCCGAGTGAAAGAAAGAAAATCGGTTGGAAATCGGTTGGTGCAAAAGTAGTGTCGAAAGGGGCGACATGGAGCGCTGGGCCGGCAAGGTCGCCGTCGTTACCGGAGCTAGCGTCGGCATCGGAGCTGCTATTGTCAACAAGCTGCTGGATAACGGTAAGTATACGAATAATCCTCTGGTTCGTTTTTTTTTTTTTTTTTTTTCCCCTTCCCTCCTCGATCGCTTTTTAGTTTGGAAGATCGTTAATTTAATGCTTGTTTTTTACAAATAGCTTACTTTGCATTTTTTTACATGCATGCCGATTTAATAATTATAATAATTACAATTCACCTTTTAACGATGTTATTTTTTTTTAAACTTTGATTCTTATGATAATAAGAAAGAAATAAAATAAAATGCAAAGTGAGTACCTACGCGTTTGATCGCGAAGAGAGTGATTTTAGAGTATAGTAAACGTTGAGCTTATCAAGCGAAGGTAATTTTGATCTACGTAGTACAGTAACGTATAGCTATAGGTAAATGAAAGACATGATAAACAGGTCTGATAGTGGTGGGGTTGGCCAGGAGAGTCGAAAAGATCAAAGAACTGACGGACGACCACGAGGCCAAACTTCACGGTATCGAGTGCGACGTAACGAACGAGGAGAACGTCATCACTGCCTTTGCCTGGATCAAAGAGAACCTCGGCTCGATCGACGTGCTCGTCAACAATGCCGGCATCACCAAGGAGTCCTCGCTGTCTGGTATTGTTAATTATCATCACTTTTGTATTTTATACCGCGTTAATTGTGCTGCAAGCATTTTTTTTTTTTTTATCCCCCTACTACTTCCGGTGAAAAAAACACTGCGACATTATATATTGATGATGAAACAAGTTTCAAAGTATTAAAAAAAAAAAAAAAAAAAAAAGTGTTGAAGTGTTTATTCAAATGTTATACTTTATTCACCGTAAGAACAGATTGCACTGTTTTTTTTGTTGATCAATGGTTTATTGGGTAGTATAATTACTTGGTAGTAAAAATAAAAAAATAAAAATCATGCCTTAAATTTTCGGACGAAAAATGTTTATAAAACAATGGCGCCCAATTGAGTCTGATTTTGCGTTATACTGCATCAACCAAATTCACCTCCTGTTAAAAAAATCCGCCCGCAGAAGGCTCCCTCGACGATTGGCGCAGCATTATCGACGTTAACGTGCTGGGCCTGTGCGTGTGCACCCGCGAAGCCGTGAGGTTCATGCGCGAGAGTGACAAAACCAAAGAGCACCTTATCATCCACGTGAGCAGCTTGGCTGGCGAGCGAGTGCCCAACGTGCCTGGCTTCAATGTTTATCCGGCTACCAAAAAAGCCATCAGTGTCCTCGCTCAGACCCTAAGGCACGAGCTTGCCGCCCACAACAATATTCGCATCTCCGTAAGTGTATTTTTTATCTATTTCGCGATTGAAGCTTGACAATAGCTCTCGGAAAATCGTGTGCCACATCACCTACGGTTTTTTCATGCTCCAGTAATTTTTACATATTTGTTTCATTTCTTTTACCAATTTATAGAAACTCTTCGATTATACTGCATGTGTTTTTGTCGGAAAAACCTCATAATAAATATTATACCGATAAAATCGAAATTTTCTACCCGATTCGCGAACTGGTTAAAATGAATTCTGATCATCAATTTAAAATATGCATAACATTTTTTATGACACGATGACAAATATGATTTCTGTATTTTAATTTAAAAAAAGCTTTAATTTATGGTACATCATTGCAGTGGGTGCTTTGCAATATTCTAGATAATAATATTTATGTTCGGCTCTTTGTTTACGAATGCCTAATAATGTTTTGTAAAGTAGCGTAGTAAATTTTAATTAAAAAATAAAAAAACAATTGTAGCGCATGCACGACTGAAATGTTAATAGAGAGTGTCGAATTAAAATTTTTAGACCATCAGTCCAGGCCTAGTGGCGACTGAGCTCATGGCAAATTTTTCCTCCTTTACGCCAGAAATACTTATGTCTCTGCCAGTGCTGTTTCCAAACGACGTCGCAGAGGCAGTGGGTTTCATTATGTCGTTACCTTCCCACGTAGCGGTAACTGAATCGTTGATATTTTTTTTTTTTTAACGAAAATACAATATGCCACACCTATATGGTAGATTATTTAAAATAATATAATGGTAGTTTATCATTTTTCTTTTTTTCCAGGTTCAAGACATTTCACTCAGGGCAGTTAGCGAGTCTTGGTAGAGCATCGACTTTCACGAGTCGGCGTGGCTTCCCTTGGTAAATATATTTTTATAATCAATGAAATCCCAGTCTTTCGTGTGTTTTCAGAGAAACTCATCTATTTGTTTAGCAAAAAATATCTATCACATTTGGAAAAATAAAATTTTTGGTATTAAGTAAATGTCCCGATTGTGAGACAGGGTTAAGCGTACTTATATAAGTAAAATAAGCTATTCGAAGCTGAAAAATACATATAACCAGAAAATTTTTTGTACTATAATGTAAAATTATGTGTTCTAGCAATAAAAAATTTATTTTAGTGCATAAATAAGATCGCAATAATAATTTAATTTGAAATACTGGAGAAAAATATGAGGTCCCAATTAATGGCACATCAAAAAATAGCATAGCCCAGTTGTCCCACTCAGTCAGTCCCGGTTTATGGGACATACAAAAACTGTTAGATTGAACCTACCGCGATAAANGAGCAGATAAGAACATGGTCTAGGAAACTTGTTTATAGGAGTTGTTACTAAAAAATAAGATGTCAATACTCCACTGAGAACATATTGGGGCTTGCGCAGCACAAGTGGTACGGCTGCCGTTCCCTTACTCATACTAAAGCAGAAGACGCATGAGAATAGTACAGTAGCAGTACTGCACTTGGGCAGCAGCTGCACAAGTGTTCTGGTGCGGACGTTGAGCCAGGAGTATGGTGCTACAGTGACACTTTTAATTGGGTAGTTAAATATTGTTATAGTAAACGAGCATAAGTTGTATTTTCACTGGAATATTTTTTATTAAGGCTGTAATTAATGAAGCTGCTATTAATGTTGATTGTATGTTTTACTTTATGCTGATAACTTTCATTGCATACAGTGGATTAAAAAGTTTATTAACACCTTCATCGGCTTTAGAGGCTATTTTTCTGTCAATCTTTTTTTTCCTTTCTTTCTTTCATTTTTTAGCTAAAATCAGTAAATATTGTTTTAAGTAGGTAATTACAAAATAAAGAATCCTAGGACTGCTCACTTCTGAAGTTATGTTATTACTGTATGTCAATAATTAACTTACTATGAAGCTGGATATCAATTACAATAACTTTACAATCGATTAAAACACACTGTATTCACTTTTACATAACAGAGTACAAGATTTGCAAGTAAAAACAAGAACTTTGATGTGTCTCATTTATCGGACCAAAGGCATAAATATGAAGTGTACGTAAATACGGTACATGCACTATGCTGTACCATTAATCGGGATCTTCAAATTTTAGATGTACGTATATTGAGACATGGTTATAAATAAAAAATTCGCATTGAAAACACTGATCTTTGTTTTTAAATATATTTAAAAATACGTAAATTCGTGGAAAAAAACATGTCTTGACAAAGAATTCAATTTAATTAAGAAAAAACTCAGTAAAGTGAAAGTCACAATAGGCGCAGATTCGTATGTCCCATAGTACTGCAATGGCAGAGTTGCAATAAACATTTTTTTTGTAATATTCTATACGTCCTATGGCCTTGAAATAAATATATATATGATAAATATTTCCATGTATAAGTTAACGAAATTTTTTTACATTCCTATATATTCTCCGTTATTTAAATATTAATTAATTTCAAAACATCCCATTAATTGGGACGTTGTCTCACAATCGAGACATTTACCTTATTTTTTCAAATGATTTTTTTTTCGCAAAAAAATTGTGTATCAATATGTCTCCGCATTTGAAATCTTTTAACGTGACTATGTTTTGAAATATAAATTAAATTGGTATAAAATACAAAAGTATACAAAGAAAAAAATCCGTTATTGTTGGTGGAGATTAGTGGCTATTGACAAGCGTAATTAATTTAAGTGATACATTCATTGTTATTTTAAAAACATTCCTCGGGTTTTGCAAAGACAATTATTGAACGGCAAAATTCTTATTTCGAATGATATACCTACATTCTGTTTAATTGTACAACGAAACGAGTGATCCGAAATAAATAAAATAAAATCTTTGTTAGAATAATAAAATTCATCGGTATACATAGCGTTGAAATTTAAATGGACGAGGCGCAAGAATATATGTAATAAAGATGAATATTGATTTGGCGTATGATGTTTTTATTCGTATTAAATACTTACAACGATCATACAAACTTTCCATCATCAACCAATTTAAGATGATCCGATGTATTCTCTTTGCTTTTATCATGTACATGGCTTTCAAATTTCCTAGTGTATTTATGTCTTTTTTCGTCTCCTCTTCCAATAGAGTGTAATCTCAATTGAATGGCTCATCTAAAATACCTTGATAGTTGTCATAGGAACACCCTAAACTGCCATTAATATTTTTATGGCATATTTATCGCGTACGTTTGTACCTTTTTTTTCATAAAAATGATATATTTTTTAAAATCATGCAAAAAAAAAAAGAAAGAAAGAAAAACAAAAATCTTTTTCCTACATTGGGCGTTGTTTTTACCCTTTGGACTGCGCCCTCAGTAAGAAAAGTAGTGCTTGCCCTGGCGACATGCGCCACTAGGTACGAAAATTACTATTAATGCTTTTAAAAATAAAATCATTTGCTGAAAAATATCGATTTATGATGACATATATACTTTATAAAAAGCTTGTGGTATGTGCATAGTCAAAGTAAAAAAAATACCATCACGATACGTAACAGACACTGAAAATAAAGACAAAGGATTGTCTCATGGAATGGAAAATATTTTCATGCCACTATTTAAATTAAACATTGACCACACTCTCTCCAGTGAACAGAGAGTACTGTACACCTAAATAATCTACTGCTTTAAGCACTGCCAGTATAACTATGTACATTCGCTAAATCGAACTTCATCTAAATTGCGCCTCCATAGCCATGTTTAATTCTAATTGTGATCTTTATATCAAGTAAGGAACGTTTTTTCTTATTTGTTTTGTTATGTCTTTTTTTTATTTTATATATATATATATCATGCGATAAGTAAAGCTATATTATTGCAGAGATAAATGTAAGCTACATTACGTAAAAATTTTAATTTATTTTTACAGTGACGAGTAAGAATAGAACGAGAATCATTCTTTCCTACGGATAGATTATGTAAATGATGTAAATGCTTACTAATTGTGTAAAGATATGCATGTATAAAAATTTATATATTAGATTAGATCACAAGTTAATGGCATGTAACCCACCTTGGGATCGTTTCTTTAAAGAGTCACATTATAGTCTTAAGATTCTAAAAAAAAAAAAAAAAAAAAAAAAAAATGATGTAAATAAAAATCCCTTCACCACGCTGCGTATTATTTCTAACACCGCATGTAATATTAATGGTAAGCTAGACTGTGTAGAAATAGTAAGGATAGTACTCGCGCATGAAACATTTATGTGTATAGAAACGAAACGAGAAGCTGTTAAACAGGCCACAAAGTATAAAAAATAAGTGAATGACCACTGGTAGTAAGAAAGTTGAGATGTATGTATAAAAAAAAAAAAATTAGAATTTCAAGTATCAAATTATTACATAAAAGTTCGAGGAAGAACATTGAAGCAATTGCATGCATAAAACATGTTTAGAAGATGAGGCATCGCGATTATGTAAACAAAATATACCGGGTTACAAATACCTTGACTCTCAGAATTGGGATTAGATCCTTCCAGGGTAAGATCTTGTGAAGAAACGTATCCTTTCCGATTGAAGAAGAAACGAATTCTAATCCATTTCGCGTTTAATATATTATTTTGAACTAAACGAAAATCGAAATTCCATTTGCTCTTGCTGACTTATTTTTTTCAACTTTAAAAATCCAATTTATGAATCCATGACGTGTTTTTTCATGCATCCGGTAAATCTGATATCCTCATGCGTTTCCCGCGAAGAGACGAACAAGGGGGAAGAGCGATCGCATTATTTATCAGATGTGAATCCTCTTGTTCTATATAGCCTACGCTCCGCTTGATATCTTTCAAAATCCTCGAGTGATACACAAAAACGAAGCACACCGACCCAAGACTTTGTAGGACAGATTGCACACATCCCTTGTAACTATTCCTCTTCAACAAATCCTAAATATGCACTGTCTCCGTCCATGATAAACGAGAAAGCAGTTTCTCACCAAAAGTTTCAAGTTAAAAAAAAATAGTACCATAAAACAATAATGTTCAAATAAGTACGGCCAAATATTTTATAGGCGTGTGCAACTTCAAGCTGTTTCACTACAAAATTTGGGGATGGTGCCTGTGGCTCCTTTTTTTTTCTCAAAGGAGAAAATAGAAGACTCCGAAATCCTCCGAATCCTCGATCTCCTCTTCGCGAGCAAAATCCTATCCTATCCTCTTTTTTCCTCCCGCGATCCTGTACATCCCGATCTTTATTTCTCTTATGCTCTCCGCGCAGTTAAATCCGTCCAAAGCAACGCGCCGCGTGTAATCCATCCAAGAGAAGCAAGATCGTCATGAGCATGTGTGTGTGTGTGGGTTTCAGGATTTTCATTGAGATATTCAATCCGATCCAATATACAAAAGAAGAAAAAATACATTAGTTTCAATTGTCAGTTTACAAGAAAACGCAAATATTATGGTTCATATTAAATATATGCAACTGGGTGACGACTACATTTTGACGCTCAAAGAGACGAAAAAGTGAGCATATCAGTACAGCACCCAGTGTCAACGTTCGTGTAACAAAATAGAATTAAATCAATCATTGCCTACTTCTGAATTTTTAAGCACTTTATATAATACAAGTAACACATTTACCGCATCCCTTTAAAAATAACAGATTTTTTATTAAAAGTACTGTGTTTTAAGCAAGTCATTGTTGAAAATGACTAAGAACAGTTAAAATAAAATTTCAAATAAACTTGTTATTAATTATTATCAAATTTATTTTACATTTTCAAAAGTCTTAAAACTAAGATATCGACTATTTATATGTTGAATTAAGCTCACGGAAGATAAGATAGAAGCAACTTTGAGATTAAACTGGCTGAAAGAAAGTTTGAAAAAAAAAAATTTACATTTTCCGGGCTTGTGATATCTCCTAACAAGTCACTTTGTTATTAATTATTCAAATTCCCAATGATCTGAGCGTGTACATGAGACAAATACATATTAAAAATTGTAAATTAATTAACTGAACATAGGCTAATAAAACATGCAATCAATCGTTACAAACAAATTATTTTTACACTGTCAATTTAGATTGATTCGCAATTAATTTGGTAAGTACAAAGGAATGTATCTTATTATAATGTAAAAATACAAAGTGACTGAAGTTCACGTGATTATTTGATTGAATCAATAAAAACTAAAAAGTATGTAACACGAGTCAAAACAAAAAAAAAGAAAAAATTGTTTTAAACAGTCGAAAATTCTATAGTCATTCGCAACAGGCTTACAATTCTGTGGTCAACGTATCAGCAAATAGCTCTCATTGAGCAAAAAATAAAAAGAACATAACGAGCAAATGAATATTTAAGTATAAAATAGTGCTCGGAGCTTTTTAGCTGATAAAAATCATTATCAGCGAAACGCGCTGTATACAAAGAAAAAAAAAGATTGCTTGATGGTTTTTTTTACTATGGAGCATAGTACATTCACGTGATACGTACACTCTAGTCATACGAGCGAGATCTGGAACGTGATCTGGACCGCGAATATTTTCGAACTGGTGAATACGTCGGCGAGCTTCTGCGACGTGGACTGTAGCTTCGTGAGCGGCTGCGACCTCTGTCTCGATCTTCACTACGATTTCTGTCGTTACTACTTCCATGGTCTTCTTTAACTCGTATGTAAGCTACTTCGCCCTTTATCAGAAGACAAGATTTTTCCGTACACTACTTTTGTTTAAAAAAAAAAATAAAAATGAACCAAAGAATCACTCACCTCATGCGATCTAAAACGAGAATCGTCGAGCTTCTTGACTGCGTACTTCATGTCCTCGTAACGCAAGAACTCAACGACTCCTGTTCCATCCTTGTACACATCAGCGAAACAAACATCGCCAGCCTCGCGCATATGATCCTTCAAGTCTTGCCAGCTACCCGAGGGTGGCAGCGCAGTAACGAGTACTCGGTACTGCGACCTCCTGGCTGGGGGACCTCTATTTCTGGAGTTGCCCATATCATTGCGACCTCGATTATTGTCACTTCCACGGCCTCGAAAACTACTGGGCCCACCGCCACGAGGAAATTCGACGCGTAGCCTGTAACCATCGTAGTCATAGCCGTCTCTGGCGTGAACAGCATCTTCTGCGTCCCTAAATAATTATATAAACATGTGAGATGGTTGCTCTCATTTTTTCATAATGGGTTAGGAAATAAGACCGATTTGCAGCGTTTCACGTTTTGGATGAGAGAGAGAGAGAGAGAGAGAGAAAAGAAACGCGCGTGGAATGTACGTTTGGTTAACGCGATAAAAGGACAAACAGAAGAAACCAACTAGCTACAATGACATCGGTATTTTTTTAGTAACAATAAAGGTTGGTTATGTGATGGCCTCGTTAGCGAACTTGTTATACCAAAGGTTCACAACAGTTCAACAAACGGTTTTTAATTACTGGCTGCGAGAGAAAAATAAAGACACGAGTAAGTAATAGACATGAAAAATGAGGCTACTAGGCTCGAAACGGAGCAACGAACCTGGGATCGTCAAACTCGACGAAGGCGAAAGGCGGACCACGCCTGTTCTTCAGGTCGACAAAAACGACCTTGCCGAACTTGTAAAACAGATCCTGGATGTCCTTGGTGCGTATGTCGGGAGGCAGATTGCCCACGTAGATGCGGCACTCGTTCCTGCTTGAGTCGTGCTTGGACATCTTCTTCGAGACTAAGCTGATAGGAGTGGAGAGAGGTTTACTACGACTTACTCGGGGGTGCAACAATCTGTACTTACTGGACGCGCAACGGTGGGTCTTGACAAAAAAAAAAAATATATTAACGCGGAGCGTGGCGGAGATACAGCGATAACACACACCTATGCAAACACACACGCACTACACAGTGCCACACGACACGACTGGCCTAGCCTACCGCTAGAAATTCTCTCTTTCTCAGTCGTCAGCTATAAGCTATAATCTAATTTATCTAATGTGTAATGAACTTATAGAAACAAACAAAATGGCGTAGACACCATTTGAGAGGGAGGACCGGAGGAAGAAGTTTATCGCTTTCTTCTGCCCTCGATAGTCTCGATACACTCGATACTCGATTCAATGCGATTCCTCTCGATTTCTCGATGCAAGCGCTCCCTTTCTCTAATTTATGTTAATTTCAAAAAAATATTTTAATTTTCTCAGTTCCTCAATATCGCAACTTAATAATTGTTAAACACGTTAACACATAAGTATATAGTGCAAATAGCATAATTTGTCTTGTCAGTGAGCTAAAATAAAGAAAATATACCACAATCAACCACAAAACGTGTATAAATTACATTAAAAAAATAAAATCACAGTGTTCACATAGCAGACGATATCACACCTACCTACACTCTCTTGGTAATTGTCGAAAAAGAATAAGAATACCATTTCAATACACACATATAATTATGTTTTTCTCAAAAACTTTCTAATCGAAAACTACACGTTGTACATATTATAAAAATTAAGTAACATACTTAATGATAATAATAATAATAATAATAATGATTGTAATGAAATATAAATAATAGTAACAATAAAATACTCGCCGGTAAAGACGAAATTTAACCGACAGAGGGGCGGGAGGAGAAATTAAAAAAGGAAAAGGAAGGGGTAGAAGCGCCGCGCGGGCGGAAAGCGAGACCCCCTACTTTTAGCTAGTCGGCCATCTTCCGTCATCGACTTCGTAAACTTCGTCGTTTGTGATTAGTTATTCATCTGATGATAGATAGTAATAATATATTGTGTCCGTCAACATCTACATTAAAGTAGTGCACCGATTTTACTAAGTAACGCGATTCAACATCATATTCGAGATTATTTTACCATAAGCCACTTGAATTCCCCACGAATCACCTCATTAAAGCCGCTCACCGTTCAACCCACATTCCCGCATCCTTTTGCTTCAACGCGTGAGAGGGTTGCTCGTTCATACACCTCAGCATTTTATGCAAGCAATAAGTCATCGTCATGACTCAGGACAGCATAGAGAAGTTGTACATTAATTTCGGGGTGCTCGCCGAAGCCAAGGACAAGCTGCAGGAGGTGAGCATCATTTTTCTCTCTGTTTCTCTCTATACCGCAAAATGGCCATCTTTATCGAGACGCTGCTCGCATGCGCGCGCCCCACGTTAAATCTCTTTCTTTCTCTTGGGATATATAACGTAATAAGTTGTGATCAAAGCACACCCGGCCGCGTGTTTCTATTTATAATTAATACTTCCTGGGGTTATTTTCTCTCGAAAGAAAGACTTGATATCATACTCTTCTCGATGATGAAGGTGATGACGATGATAACGAAGGTTGACGGGTGTTGTCGGTGTGAAGGGAAAAATTTTATGAGAGCAGAGATTTGGAAGACAAATTTTTCAATGATTGGTACACACGTGGCAGTCGTGGTTGTATCAATTCAAAGTAAAAATTTTCAAAGTTTTCCCATTAAATTTAGTCACCAGAATCATTTATGTATAATTTAGTCAACAATTGACCCTTGAGCATTGGCTCTTTAGACAAGTTATTTGACTAGACTATACTTAAGAGTTATGTTGTAATTGTGGGAAATGTTGTTTCTTTTTAGCATGAAAAGGAATATTTGGAAATTTTGAAAGCCGTGAAAGGTTCGGCCAAGGAAAAGCGATTAGCATCTCAATTCATTGCAAGATTTTTCAAGCACTTCCCCAATTTGGCAGAAAAAGCTATAGATGCACATTTGGATCTGTGTGAAGATGAAGATATATCGGTTAGTCAAGTAATTTGAAAGTAATAATAGTTTCAAGTAACTATTAAACTGTTGGATTAACAATCTTGATACCTCATGTTTAGATACGCAAACAAGCAGTTAAAGATTTGCCTCTCTTGTGCAAAGACAACAAGGAGCACTCTGCAAAGATAGCAGACATACTGGCACAGCTGCTAGTTGTTAAGGATTCATCTGAATTAGATGTAGTTCACAACAGTATTATGACCGTCATCAAGAACGACCCAAAAGGTTTGTTGGTTGTCAATTTTTTGTATCTATACTATTTAAAATTGTAACATTTTGTTACGTCATTTCTATAACGAATTTATTTTAGGAGCCATCCGTGGAATTTTCTCTCAAATTCTAAATAGTGCTGAAGACAACGGTGGTGATGTAGTACGTGAACACTGTATCAAATATTTATCTACTAAGCTCAAGGCACTGGGTCGTGATGTCATAACTAAAGATGTCGAAGATGTATTGATTGCCGAATGCAAAAAGGTTCTACAGGTGAGCAGTTAAACTCTTAACTCAATTGCTTAGAATGATTTTTTTCTGTAAAGCATCAATTATTACATTATTAACCTTGAATCACAGGATGTCACTGCTGAAGAATTTCATAGTATTATGGAAATGTTGTCATGGACAAGGCTTGGATCTACAGTCAATGGGCAAAAGGAATTGGTTGAAATAACTATTGAACAAGCCCAACTCTCAGTACCATTTAAACACACCGATTTAGAACAATGCAGCAGGTTGATACAGTGCATTAAACACGCTCTTCCATACTTCAGTGTGAGTGTCTATCTGAAAATTTTAATCATTATTAAATGTATTGCATTTATTTCATTGTAATGAAATTTTAACATTTTCAGTCTCAAGTAGAATCAACAAAGTTTGTTTCTTATATAAGTATGCAAGTCTTACCTCATCTGTCACTCATTACTTCACCTGACAAGAGCGACGTACAATTAGAACTTTTAAAACTTCTTGCCGAATTGTCCGAGTATTGCGGAAAAATTGAAAAACCGGAAGAAAAAATTCAACAGCTCTACAATGCTTTAATTGTAAGTATCATTAGTCCTTCTATCAAAGCAGAAAAGCTCGCAGATATATAATATTTACATGATTTGTCTTTTCGTAGACTTTTATGCCACTACCTCCAGCCACAGAAATTGCAGAAACACCCAAACTCCAGTTTAGTCACGTCGAATGTTTAATGTACGCATTCCACAAGCTTTGCAAACAAACGCCGGAATTCCTGATCAAGGATGCCGACCAGTTAAAAGAATTCAGACTTAGACTACAGTATTTTGCTCGTGGTATACAAGGTTACATCAAAAAGTTGCGAGAGGCTATCAACGGAAAAAGTGAAGAAGAACTCAAAACAAAAGAAAATCAGATAAAAGTCATAGCTTTAAAAACAACGAATAATATAAACACCCTGATCAAAGATCTGTTCCACACTCCACCGAGCTTCAAGAGCGTTATTCACCCATCCTGGAAGACCATTGTGTCAAAGGAAAAAAAGGTATGCATAAAGGAATTAAAAATTTTTAAAAACAATGTAAAATTTTGAATACGTTTGACCAATTTTTATCTAATCTCAGAGCGACAAGATAACAATAGGGCAAAAACGACACACACCAATCACATTTGGAAATGGAAACAGTATCACCAGTAGCAATAGTAATAACAGCAACAATCATGCTTCTAACAAACGTATGAAGGTAGATAGTGTAAGGAACAACAAAATATACACTCCTCCAAGCGGAAAGTACAGTTCAAACATCTCCTCAAACTATGGTAAGCTTGTAAAATTTTAAAATTAACGTCTTTCCATAACAAACTTTCAGTCAATCAGTATCGGGGGTTAACAAATGTACCGTTTATCCGTATCTCTGTAACTGTAGCCACAAGTTTTATAACCTTGACCGGTACATTCCCAAAACGTTGATTTACAATAAGTCTTTTTTTTTTTTATCATTCATTATTGTTAAGTGCAATGTAGATAAAAGTTTCCACAAAATCCCGTGGTAATCGACAGATAAAGAATGTAAAGTCGATGGATTTTTGTCTTGATAATTATATAACGAAAGTATCAAATGCTCCAAAACTTTATCATTAATAGAGTTGTGTAAACATTCTTGCTTCATTCGTAGGTAACAACCGGGGACGTTTCCAGAATAATCAACGGTACAACAATAATAATGGCAGAGTCAACAGTGGACGCGGGACAGGCGGTGGTGGATTTAGACCACGTGGTCGCGGTTCTTGGAGAAAGAATTCTTACTAAATATATTACAGAGAATCGATTATTTTATAAACCACGGCCGTTGCGTATCGTCAGTTTTTCGGCGAAATCGAAACAAACTCTAAATATAACGACGAGGCAAACAAACTTTTTTTTAAAACCATATAATTAAAAGTGAAAAGTACTAACCAATATACTAGAAATGATTTTGTACTGATGGAAAAAACGATTCTTTGTTTAAAAGCGGTTACAGAGAGCATATTGATTAAGACTTTTGAATTTTAAAATCGTATTTTTGGATCAGTTTGCGTTCACGTAAGATATGCTACAAATGTACTTTACAAACCTATCACGAATGTGATGAAGAACTTGAATGAGTGCATAAACGATAACATTTTGTGCTAAAGTACAAGTATAACATTTTTTGAGACATTGTTCTATTAAAGTGCGATAGAAATGCGTTGTAGTAGTTTTGTGTGATAAGTTGCGAGTCAAATAATTATGTAAGCACTTGATGTTGAAGTTCGCTAAAAAACGCCAACTTAGGAGGTGATAAAGTACTCACTTTAAAAAATGAGATATAACTTAGAGTACCAAAACTCGAACTATCGTAAATCAGTATGAGAAAAAGTAACAATTAGATTCAGTGTGCATCGTAATCTATATAGAAGAACAGCGAGATAGGAGAAACAGAGGACCGCCATATTTGTACCGTAGCATTCAAACGATTCAAGTGAAATGCGGCTTTCGTGTTATGTGTCTCCCAACTCCCTACTCCTTTTCTCTATTCTTCTTAAATCCTTATGTTTTTATAAACACCACAAATTACCTTACTATTAAATTTTTTCTTTTAATGCTAATAATTACTAAGTATGTTTACAGGTGCAGCTCTATTAGGACAAATTTATGACGTCAGTTTTGCTTAAATCTAAAATTAACTTAAAACATAATCGAAGAAACAATGTCGTTTACAGAATCATTTTGCTTTTGTTAAAAATTTTGTAATTTATAAATATATTTTGGTTTAATTTTATACTTCTTATAAATTGGTTGCAGTTTCCTTGATTATATATTTTGACTTTAACATAGTTTCGTTAAGAGGCAATTTCCGTGGATTTTCATGGAAAGGACAATTTTTATACATACATGACCATCAAAACATTCTTCTTACAGATTTGTAACTCAAGAGCAGGTTGCCATTGAATTTCAAATGCTGCAGTAAACATCTAATATTTTATATTTTACAGATAACATGTTAAACAACTGACTCGTGAACAACTTGTTGGCAAACAGTTTAAAAGCCAATTCCAGATGGGTCTTTGCTCAAGGTAAGTGATTTACTAATTATTTGTATTAACATAAGCACCCAATTCCTTGTTCCCACTTACCCTTGTATTGCCCACGATTCTATCAGATACTACGCTACTTTTACAACTCTGTAGATATTTTTTATTATAATAATAAAAGTTTTTTTTTAATTACTTGAAATTGTGTTGATACTTTACTCGACACCTCAAACTTCATGTTATGCTATACCTTGTAACTATGTAGGTTCATTTAAATAATAGTAATAAAAGCTTCAACTATAAAATTGTTTATTTTATTATCTTACCTCATACAACCATTGATATGTGAATGAAAAAAACTTAACATTCGAAGAGTCTATGTACGATTGTTATCACGGATGGGAAAAATATGTTTATAATATATAAACCTAGTTAATTTTGTACATTTTTCAAATTAATATAAAATTACACGACACTTATGCATACAGTGATGATTACACGTACATATTATTAATATAATAATAATAAATTACTGTCTTTAGTGTAAACTATTAGACAAAAGCATGTCATCAATCACTTTACACATTATACGATCACTTGAACTGCATGGATCCAGTGCTTGTTGTTCTGCACTTGAGATACTGTCAATTTCCATTCCTTCAACATTCACAGAAAATTTGGAATCCAAATCTGAAGCATCTGGCAAACTTTGAAGAGCCGTTTGCAGAATTACTTGTACCTTAATGAAAGTTTTTATTTAATTAAACGATTGCACCACTATTGAAGAATCTGACCATCAATAAATATTACCTTTTCTAAATGTTTTTTAAACCGCAATGTTGTCTCTATTCTCTGCCTCTTCTGCATTTCCATCATTACTCTAAGAGTTTCGCGAGCTTGATGTGGTCTAAATTCGTTTAATAAATGATGTATGTGGATAAATAACAAACTTAAATCCTCCACCTGTGAACCAAAATCATTGAATAAATAAAATGAAAAAGATTTTGATTTATGAGTAATCTTGTCATAGGAATTAAAAATGAAAAAATGACCTTTTCAGCTCTCCTGGTACTGTCGGGGCACATGACTAGTAAATCGATTAAATCTAAAAAGTTGACTAACAAGGAGTGATTGAGTTTCTTGAGTTCTCTCCGTCTGTCAAAGTGTTGTGGGTACAACCTTTTAATTCCTTGGGCTTCTAGAGGCCTAATTATCGTATCATCAGCATTGAAAATGTTACCAAACATAGAATAGTTGTCATGAATTGGCAGTGGAGGCCTTGGAGCTCTACCTCTCTTGACATTTTCATCCGTGTACAGATTGATGTACTGAACAGGTGGGAGAGGCAACGAACTCACTTGAATAGCATCTGCAGATGCCATTGTTTAATTTTAAACTTTTCTGAAAATGTTTTACATCATGACATACTGACAGCTTAAAACACATTTATTACGGTATGTACAATTACCAAATGATAAATAAATTTTGGAGATCACGTGAATGTTGCAATACGTTGTACGTAATACTGAAAGTTATATAACAATAACAAGAAAATGTATATAAAAATGAATAATATCAGCCACTATGCATTTAAGGTTAATGATCGAATCAAAACAACAACACCACGGCTTTATTTCATTTAAAATAATTCAAAATTTATTACCCCAAAAAGTGACACTAACAATTCTTCAATTCTTATTTTAACACTAAACTTAATGAAAAAATAGAACTACTGTAATAATAAGAGGTGGCTGACAGTGAACACAGTCCTTTTATTATTGTTTTCTCTTCTAAGTATTCTACTCACGATAGATTTTACACGTATATAAATGTGCGACGTGCGTGTGCGTCGTGCGACAGCTATAGCTATTGTTTATTGTTGTCTGCGCCATCTAGCGGGAGTCATTTTTTTGCGAAAAGTCGGCTACTCGGCCCTAAATAATCTAAGACTGATCTCTCATCAGACAGCGCTCCTCTCAGAGATCAGAGTGCATCAGCATCAGACTCACTCACTTTTTCTCCAAAAAAAAAAAAAAATATATATATAAATATATCCTAATGGCTCTGTACCGGCAGTAGGTATTGTCTTCTTGTTGAAATGGAAGAAACCTGCCATAACTTGCCTGTACCGACCAGGCCTGGTGTCAATACGGCAGGGATTTTACATTTCCGTCGGCACGGCAGGATCCTACGATAAATGAATTATCGGCCGTCAGTCTTGCGACATTACCACATCTACGTAACTTTAACTGCTGGCAGCATTTGCGGAATACAGCCTCTGATGTTATTATTCTGGTAAATATAAGAGAGCACGGTGCAAGATATATACGTGTAGTAATTATAGTAATCACTACTAAGCAGTGCCATATGGTCGATTTTATTAAACCATATAAGTGTCAATTTTTTAATAAAAGATAAATTGTAAACTTGCCGCAAGTAGCACCAAAATGTTAACTTTTTATTATCTATCTATAAAATTTGTTGCGGCTGGCTTATAACTAATAAAGTGACTTTACTGTAAGTAGTAATAATTATTTTGGATCAGCGCCATCTAGCGGTCTTTGTTTTTTGGCCAAAAGTGGCCCCTAAAATTCTCAATCAGAGCATTCAGGATTAGAGCCATTTAATCAATTATAAACCAGCCGCAACTCATGATGAAGCTACAAAACAAAAAAATAACAATACATGTGTTTTTGGCGGCAAGTTAACAATCTATTGTTTACCAAAAAATTGACCTTCTATGTGTTTATACTTTTGAAGATAAATTTTCGAGCATAAGATAAATTGTTAACTTGCCGCCAAAAACACATGTATTGTTATTTTTTTGTTTTGTAGCTTCATCATGAGTTGCGGCTGGTTTATAATTGATTAAATGGCTCTAATCCTGAATGCTCTGATTGAGAATTTTAGGGGCCACTTTTGGCCAAAAAACAAAGACCGCTAGATGGCGCTGATCCAAAATAATTATTGCTACTTACAGTAAAGTCACTTTATTAGTTATAAGCCAGCCGCAACAAATTTTATAGATAGATAATAAAAAGTTAACACTTTTGTGCTACTTGCGGCAAGTTTACAATTTATCTTCTACTCGAAAATTGACCTCCAAAAGTACAGATCTACTTATATGGTGTAATGAAGTCGACCATATGGCACTACTTAGTAGTGATTACTATAATTACTAAGTACACATAACTTCACGTATATCTTGCACCGTGCTCTCTTTATCAGAATGATAACATCATGCAGAGGCTGTATTGCAGTTAAATGCTGCTAGCAGTTAATCCCGCATAGATAACGCTTATTCGCTGATTCACATAACTCGCGTTTCAACTATAGTAGTGACTTTTCAGGTGATAGGACTTAAGTATAGGGACTTCATATAGTTACATATAGGTATAATCGTATAGCATAGAAGAGCTTCATTTTTGATACATCACGTTTGTGTTATTGATAAACTGAGAAAGTGACAATTAAAAAAAAAAAAGTGCCTTTAATCGGACCTTTGTCGCCAAAAAGTTGGATAAAAAGAAGAGACTGTTTAAAGCAGACTTACTTGTGAATCATGGTAAGTTCGAAAAGATCGGCAAAGTTAACCTCAAAGGCGCTTCCTCTGTGTGTTGATTTAATTTTCATGTCAATTTCTTGGTATTTTATCTCGAGATAGAATTTTAATCATTTATAATGTTTACTTAATCATCTGTTCAGTTACTTTTGAGATAAAGTGTTTTGTATTTGCGGTCATCGTATGGTTGTGCAGCTTATTATTGTCGCGTCATCGTACACGAAAACACCGGTTGTCTGTGCCAATATTGCTATTTGAAGCTTTTTTAGAACAATGAAAATGATGAATTTTGTCGTCAATGATGAATAATTACTTATCAGGTATCGCAAAACCATGAGTAGCTTGTCAAAGTTGTTTTGTTTGTCTTTGAGTAGTTCCGGAATCAGTATGACAGTGATGTCACTGTTTGGAGTCCCCAAGGTCGTTTGCACCAGGTTGAATATGCCATGGAAGCTGTTAAATTGGGATCAGCTACAGTCGGTCTTAAAAACAAAACACACGCGGTGATTGTGGCCCTGAAGAGAGCAACATCAGAACTATCTTCTCATCAGAAAAAAATGTTTGTCATTGACAAGCACATTGGCATGGCCATGGCTGGCCTCACAGCTGATGCCAGAATGTTGAGGTTTGTTGTTGATTGAAATTACGTGATGGAATTGTTGATTATTTGTAATATGTGATTTATTTACAGCCGATACATGAGAACTGAATGTTTGAACTATAAATATGCTCATGATGATCATCTGCCAATAAGCAGGCTTATTACGCAAATTGGGAACAAGATGCAAACCTGCACGCAACGTTACGATAGAAGACCTTATGGTGTTGGACTTTTGGTTGGTGGATACGATGTAAGACGTTGAGCCCGTTATTTTACCTTATACACCGATTTGCGAAAGACTCATAAACAAAAATGTCTTTTTTCAGGATCAAGGGCCGCACATCTATCAAACTTGTCCATCAGCAAATTATTTTGATTGTAAGGCCATGGCTATTGGTGCCAGGTCGCAAAGTGCGAGAACGTACTTGGAGAAGCACCTCAATGATTTTCCTGAATGCGAATTGGATGAGCTTGTCAAGCATGGTTTGAGAGCTTTGCGTGATACACTTCCTAATGAAACAGATTTGTCTCCAAAGGTTTGTTTGACTATTAAATAAAATTTTTATACAGCTAACTCGAGTGCTCATACAACAATTCTGAACTTCGTTACAGAATGTGTCAATTGGAGTGGTTGGTAAAGGTACTGAGTTCTCAATTTTGAATGAGACTGTGACTCAAACCTACTTGTCAGGAATCGAAGGTGAACGGATTAGACCTACTGAGGGCGAAGTACAGCCTGTAATACAGTCTGATGATAGACCTCCACAGGATCCACCCTCTGATCCAGGTCCAAGAGATCCCTCAGTTGCCGTTGATACGGAAGAGAGGCCATCAGCCATGGACACGGAGTAAATCAAAGTAAATCTCCCTCTATTTCGCAACTATGAACTATGATTTTTCAACTACGATTAAAATAAAAATAAAAATAAATATTCTGTCATTATTACCTGATTTTTAAAATTTTCTTTGCATAAATCATATTTATACAGCTAAAGTAATAAATTAATCAATGATCATTAGCGCACATGTATTTCTGAGGTAAATAGGTACTTTTTATAAAATTTGTACTTCACCTTTCAATGGTGCTGTGTTACATACGATATAAAAACATTTACACAAATATGGAAAAATATTTTTATTTATTAACAATTATTTTACAGCAAAAATAAAGAAAATGTTTCCCTTATTTTAAATCAAACATAACAACGGTGTAATTTAAATAAATTGCATGCCTAATTTTACAATAACTAACATAATTCATGGGATTTAGGATTTTTTCTTTACTTATGTGTATTCTCGTGCATCTTTTTGACTCTGTTTTTCTTTTAAAACGTTCGTTAAGAAGTATTCACCAGCTTTGTATGATGATCGCACGAGAGGTCCACTTGCTGTGTAAAGAAAGCCCAGCTCCTGTCCGACCTTTTCCCAAACTTTGAATTTTTCCGGTGTAATGTATTCGATTACTTTTAAATGTCTTTTTGTGGGCTGCATATACTGGCCAAGAGTAACAGCTTCAACACCAACTGATCTGAGATCTTTCATAGTTTGCATCACTTCTTCGTCTGTCTCTCCAAGACCTAACATGATTGATGATTTTGTTATCAAATCTGGGTTGACCTTTTTGGCCTCTTTTAACACTGATAGTGACTGCCTGAGAGGAAGAAAGAAATAGCTAATTACGAAATTTGTTTAATGGTTACTGCTTTTTGGTCATAAAAAAAGTTTACTTACTTATATCTTGCGCGTCTATCGCGAACAAAAGGTGTCAATCTTTCTACAGTTTCTATGTTGTGTGCATAGACATCTAGGCCTGAGTTAACAATGGTTTTTACACAGTCAAAATTTCCTTGGAAGTCTGGCACTAAACATTCGACTAGAATATTGCTTCTGTAAATGAAATAAATGATTTAGTTAAATTTTACTTAGTAAATAAGTACCACTGATTGATTTACCTTTTCTTAAGTTCCTGAACTGTAGCAGCTATGTGGCATGCACCTCCATCAGGTATATCTTTTCACAAGAAAACAAGTCGATTATTTTCTAGGATAAGGTGCAAGTAAAATCTTTGTAAATCACAATCTCACCATCGCGATCTACAGATGTCAACACAACGTAATCTAGTCCCCAGTCTGTAACTGCTGTTGCTGTATTACTTGGCTCATCAGGATCCAGTGGTGGTGGAGCTCTAGCTGTTTTAACAGAACAAAATCTACACCCTCTTGTACATGTATCACCCATGAGCTGCCAAAAATGGAAAGAAAATATTTAATTGCAAACGTTATAAAATTTCTTCACAAATCAGAAATCAGTCATTATAGTGCAAGTACCATTATAGTAGCAGTAGCAGTTCCGTGTGTCCCACCACCCCAACATTCACCAATGTTGGGGCATCTAGCTTCCTCACACACTGTACTCAGTTTTAAATCTCGGAGTTGAGATTTGATTTTGGTAAAGTTTTTGCCCATAGGAATTTCAGTTTTCAACCACGGAGGCAATCGCAACCTCGACTCATTTCCCTTTTCCAATTTGAGAACTCCATCGTACTCACTTGCAGTGCTAGATAAAAAGTTTTCCAACTGGGGACCATCAGCCAATTTGTCAGAAAACTCTTGTTTTGATGTTTTGGAACAGCATGTGTTCTAGAATAAAAATATGTAATGATCAATGACTACTCAAAACTTACTTTTGTACAACTCGTTATTACATACTGCTGTGTGAAACTTCAATGCTGGGGTACATTTTGCTCCAGTGTTTCTTGTCATGCGTAACATTTTGCCAGATAGTCAACTATAGGCAAAGAAACTAAAAGTTAAAAAAAAACTACAACAAATTAGTCTCTACATAAGGAGTATATGTACACAATTTTCAAGGGCATCTTCAAATATTGAGTAATATTGCAAAACTAACATCAAGTTGAAGTATGATTTATCAGTATGAAATCAGTAACACACGTACTTTGTTATGAATTAATTGATTTGTGAAATTTAAAAAATCATGTATTTCGTAATCTAATCAGAAATTATCGACTCATTTGAAATATTTTCCACTGAACACACAATTTGAGAAAGTCATTGATAGTCGACAAAGTTTTAATAATAATTTTGTTTTAATGCTATTCTACTAAAAGAACAGGAAAGAAAAAATTTGTTCGAGTAGGTGAATATTTACGTACATTTTATTCCGTTACACTATTTTCAGTCTGTCAATCGCACACTGTGTATAATGTGTACGTGTGTGTGTGTACATAAATTTAACCTTAAAAAAATAGTAAAAAAATATGACAGTCAACTTGACGCATCAGCTGATCGCAAGTGACAGTCACGACGCTTGGCGACAAAATTCAAAACACAAATTTCAACAAACTCGAAATGTCTTTATTCAAATACATTTTGTATACAAAGTACGTCATATATACAGCTCCAAAGTGTTACAAAATTTTTTTTTAATGTATTAGCCCGAAATTATTTAACAACAAATTCATAAACTTACACAGCAGTACTCCACATTGAAAAAAGGGTAATAAAAAATCCTACAAATCCTTATCCTCTAAGCTCGTTTAAAATTGAGTATCTACAGACTTGGACACAATTATTTCATGGATTTTTTAGATGTGAATTTTTTTTTTTTTTTTTCTAAATAAAGTGCATTCTTTTTTTACAGCAGCTCTAAGTACAATACGACTTAGATATTAATTATTGTCAAACATTTTGATTAAAATATTTTTTCTAACATTTTAAATTTGTTTTCCTGTTAAATGATATAATACACCGGTTTTGCTGTAAAAAATTGCGTTCAACACTGTGTTGTAAGTAGTGATTTAATAAAAAAATTATATTGGCATAAATAATGCACTATGCATTTAGCAAAAAATTGTATTTTTCAAAAATCGAAAGAGTATCTGTGCCCAAGTTTTGGGTATCTACTTTAAAGAGGGAGAGAAAAAAAGTGTTATTTGTCCTTTTTGTCCGGGAAGTCGTGCCCGGTGCTACTGAGACAGGAAAATTGATCGCAAGTCTCGTTCCGGTTCGATCCAACAATGACGGCCGATTGAATGAGAGATTTTAGCTCGTCGGATAGATAATCGGCGACTAGAATGTTACTGTGGATCCTAAAAACGAAGAAACATATTTTTGGCAAAATTTCATTTTTTTCAAACATTGCGTTAGACATAATTATTATTTCTTATACATTTCTTGTTCCTTTTTAAATAAATTAAGGTGAATTCTCAGAAGACTCCATTTTTTATCGCCTCAAACGCTTTTTTTTTTGTGAAAGATAATAAAAATGTATCATGAGAGTAAAAAGTTCCATTATGACTTGACGTAAAAATATATTTACAAACTTCCGACATCCACAACTTTCGCAGTTAACAATTCGTCTATAAATGTTAAATTAAAAAAAAAGCCAAGCACCGATAAACGGTTTTCGTAAGATTGTCGTTGGAAAGGAACACGCGTGCCAAGATAAATAACGTATTCGTTTAAGGTTGATACATTTGCGTACCTAAGTATTTAATTCAAAGTCGTGTAATCCCCCCAAAAATTTTTCGGCACCACTTAAAACTATAAATCACTCGAAGCGTTTTTAGTAACGGCACCACACGAAAAAAAAAACAAAAAACAAAAAAAAAACCAAACATCTCTCAAAGATTTAACAAAGGAAAAAACCCTGTTTTCGTACACCACCCTCACCGTAATAACAGAGAGGCGCTCAACGACTCCACCCACCCCAAGCGAGCACCCGAAATCACCCCCCTATATATAACCAATAAACCCCTCATCGTCCGCCTGCCCCTCGTTTCCCCGTACCATCAAAGTGCCTCCGACAAATCTCACGAGCACCAAATAATATTCACATCATCCCTCACCTAACGACCATCGGATCGGTACAACACAACATAAAAACCCTCCCCCCCCCAACCCTCGATAATGCCCGAACTTCCCGTCACACGTTCAATTACGAGCCTCCATCATCATCATCATTACCCGCTGTGTATATAATATATACGTACAGACTGTCGAACCAGTGCTCGAGTCCGGCGAGGTCCGAGGCTGCGTCGTAGGTGGCATTGCCCTCGACGGCCGTGCCATTGGTGCCGTTGTTTGTACTACCCTTGATGAGCTCGGCGCGGCTCTTGTCCAGCTCGTCGAGGTAGTCGCGGTGCACGTGACAGGCGAGCCTCGCCACGCACTGGGGACTTATCACCAATTCCTGGCGATGATGGCCGGCCACTGGCGGTGCACCGCTGACGTTCCTGTCCTGTTGGTCCTGGACCACCTGCTGCTCAGAAGGGAGGCAGATTTTATATGTAGCATGTATACGGTACACTTGACGAGGTATCGATCTGATGGTTTAGCGCGGCTGATGGAGATGACGACGTGCACCGGGTGGGCTTTTGCGGTCAGGGGTCGAGAGCGTCGATGGGGAGGGCTTGGTTTTAGGGGCGTTTGGAAAATAACAAAAGGGTGCACAGTCGAGCATGTGCTTGTTAGGTGTATCGCCGAGTAATTGCTGAGATACACGTATATGTATATGTATATACAAACGCGCAGTGCGAGAACGTGCTCGTTTTGCCCAAGGAGTCATTAAGCATCAAGCACTGTGTGGTGTGTAGGTACGATGGGAGCGTAGCGTGTTCTCATCTCATGCATATTGTATGTGTGCGCGTGCAGAGGGTAATTGGAAAGCCTCGGGAAAGAACAAAGGGGTGAGGGACCGAAAAAAAGTAGAGACAAACCTCGTTAGGCTCCTTCGGTTTGATGTAGCCCTGTAGCAGGGCGGTGAGGGCAAAGTTGTCGGATTCGATTTCGGGGCCGGACGACGAGCGCTTTCTTCTGCGGCGACGGCCGGATATGACGCTGATCGGCAATAGGACGGGGTTGGTGGCGAGAGCCGCGGCGGCGCCGATCAGGGCGACTCCGGCCAGTGCCTTCAGCGCCACTGCCTGTTTTTCATAATTAATTGCATTAATCCATACGAGTACTTATATCGATGTGGGGTGACGATATGAGCTTGCATCTTTAACGGGTGATTGGTGTACTGTGGCTTGTACTTGGGCCCCTCGTCGCTTTTTTTTTTTTTCATGCGATTTTTGCTGATTTTATCAAAAGGTTTTTTGAGGATTTTTAAGCTCCTTTGGGGGTCTTTTGTCTAGAAATTCTTGTCGAGAAACCTCGTTGTCCCATAAAAATGTTTAAGATGACCAGGAATTGAATTTGAATGAAAATGTTTCGTGACTTTTTTTCAACATCCCAAATAAGTTTTAACTGAGGCGATGTTTCTACAGTACACGAAACAACCGATTATCGTGTCTCAATCGATCTATCGTCAATTTAACGCCTAAAAACCTGTCAAATCGTCAATAATCAATAAACAAAAAGCAATTTCCAGCAACGTCGAGATCAATACTTGCGGGCTTGATTGGGGGCTCCCGAGAACAAAAGACGCTTCGATCGAGAAAAACCCTCGGAGGGAGTTTCTTCTGCGCGAGCCCCATAATTCTCCCGTATCCGGCTGTACAGACCCCATAAACCACCGCCCGGCGATAAATTCAATCAGCACGCACACCTCCCTCACATTATAAGCACTACTTCGGGAGCCAAATTAAATAAGTAAAACAAGAGGGAAAGAGCCTCCTCCTTCCCATAAATCTCTGGGAGGGGGAAGAAAAAAAAAAAAAAGAAAAAAAAGGGGGCTCTCGACCTTCTGAGTCTGCAGATTGGCGATGTTGTGCCCAGGTGGTCCAGTCGGTTCGCCCTCGAAGGGATACTCGGCTTCCGGCTCGTCGAGGCTACTGCTGACTCCCCCGTAACCCGGCCTTCTGTTGCCACCGATGTACGCGCCATAGCCACCGCCTACAGCTTGATAGTTGCTCGGCCGACTGCCCACGCCGAACCGGTCACCCGAAGCTGTACCATACCGATCCCCGTTTTGACCTGTACTACTACTACTACTACTACTACTGCCGGGACGCTGTTGTTGCTGCTGCTGCTGCTGCTGCTGAGCTGAACTAGTGAATCTGTGAATGAGATTTTATTGGTGCACCTAAATACCATTTTTTAACACTTAACAAAAGCAACGGTACAGTGTATAAACATGTACAGAAGGAAGGAAGATTGAAGAGTAAATGTAACTTGCCTGTCGCCGTCTACAGCTGCGTAGTTTGATGACGGCCGTTGGGCGTAGCCGTATCTGCGTGAGTAAGAAAATCATTTGTTTTTACGATTTATTAATAATTTTCTTTGCTCCATTATAATATGTCTTTCTAATTATGAAGAGTAGCGTATAAATTAGATGTGCATAGGTAGAAAAAGAACAAAAGGTTGTAGAATGTAGATAATAGAATTTTAATCGGCAGTAAAAGTTAATAGACGACGACTGTTACCGTCACGTCACGGCTTTTGTAAGACTGACCGTCAAATCATCATATGTGTTTGACATAGTATATGTGTATATACGATTTAAGAAGCTTCCGTGACTATCGAATGTAAGTAAATAATGACAAAGTGTGTGGAGAGTTTTGTTTTGTGCATAAATCATCAACATTCTAATAAATTACTCTCGGTAGTGGGCACGAATACTTGTACTTCTGGATTTTTTTTTAAATGTGCGAACACTCCTAAGAGTCCTTATCATGATAGGAGAAATAAAAATGACTCGTCAAACATCCAAATAACGCACAAAAGCGTAAAATAGTAAAAAAAAAAGCAAGAAAAAAAGAGTATACATAGGTGGGTTTGTAAAAACAAACATTAAAACACAATAAATCACCTGTCGTATGCGTAATGGTTCCTCTGATCATAGTAGGTTCTATCCTTGCCGTAGCCAAGGTAACTCGAGCTCTTCCACCCACTGCCACCGTATCTGTAAAGCAAATGCCCGCGGTCTTGTATACACTTTTCCCGTCTACATGTAACTGATATATACATATATCACACTGTATCGCCAACGTATCCCTCGAGTAAAAGCAAGTGACATAAGTATAGGCACAGCACCTGTCTTCGTAGGGTCTGTTTCCGTGGTAACGGGGTGCGGGTCCACCGATGCTATTCCCTCGCTCGACGTCCAGCTCGTCATCGGACTCCTGCAGCTGCTGGCTGGACTTAATTTTGTTGTCAGAGCCGGCCGGCTTGTCGGATTCTCCTTCTGTTGAGTAATAGAAGCATTAGCTACCTACGGTTTTTACGGCGCGTATTGGCAATTATGGTGAATTGACACCGATGTCCCCCAAAGGGAGATCCAAACTTGCATATGTATAGGTATCGCTCTCTTGTTTCCTTCGCACTTCCTTTTTGCATTTGAAACTTCATTTGCAACGTTAATTTCCACGAACGAGTTGAAATTCCCTTTTTTCTCTCCCCTATTTTTTATTGTTTTTTAGTTGGTGTAATGATGAGCGTAGTTGTACCATATACTGAGTGATAAAAAGTATTTTTTTCAATAATTGTTTCTAATTAAAAATTGAGAAAAACAAAATAGTAAGATTAAAAAAAATTTATTTTAGTATTTATTTATTT